GAAAAAAAGCTCAAATGGTTGCAGCCATTTTTATTTTCCAATTTTATGTTCTTGTCTTCATTAAACTCCACTTATTTATTTTAAAGCAACAAACATATTAAGGCATTCTGAGGTTAAACCAGACTTGTGGAAGTCTTGGCAAACGTATTTATTTTTCCATGAACCGCTGAAGGAAGTGACAAAAACCTCAGAGGAAGACTCTTAGGGCAACTTCCTTCTGTGAACAAAAATGGAGTGGCATCAGATACAGTTTCACAAACAAACCAGACTTTCCAGGCAAACAAACTAGAGTTTGATTAAGGCGAACTACACACAATGCACTCTTAGAGAGTGACTCATTTTCATGCATCATAAATGCCATATTCTATAATGTTCTACAAAACACAAGACTTCTTCAAAAACATATATTACAAAATGTATTTAATCAGAATTAAAAGGGGGTTAAAACTCAAACCCCCGCAATGCATACACTCATGCTGCAATCTCCATAAATTAGGGTTGCAGCACGTGTGAGAATGTAATGACTGACACCTGGTAATGAGCAGGCCATCATCAGCCAGCCAAGCAGGAGAAACGGGGTCAGGTTAGGAGAGTGTGGGGCCACAGGTCAGAGGTCAAGGCCTCCTCATGGGAGTGGGGTTTGCTTTAGACGGCAGGGGCACCCCTAACATTAAGGGACGGGGTGACACAGGGGGATGTGAGGAGGAACCCCAACAGGGAATTGGCGTGTGTCACAGCCAGCTGGGCTAAAGATATTATATAAAGGAATATTCATGCTCATTTCAGCTGTCAGAAAGAAACTGCCGCCAGATGGAAGACAGCTTAATTTATGTCCGTTTGATTGTTTGACCCTATAACTGTGATGAGCTGCAAAAGTGTATCTTCATTTCGTGGACGGGTGCTGCACAGCTTACAGGGGAATCTAAAAATCGAAGTTTTGCGAAATGTCAAAACAAACAGTGAACAACTTAATCTCAAAAACGTGTCAGGCAGATATGCACAATGTCTTTTTCCCGACAATCCCGTTCCGCAAATGTTCCCAAACCGGTGTGAGCGTGCGTGTACGTGCAGACGTTATCAAATGAGGACAGCTGCGTCGGCCATTTTAGCTGTGCATTTGTGTTTTTGTGTCTATCGGCACACGCCTGAGTTGCCTGTTCACTGACGCAGCATCAGCAAGACCACACCATAAATACTGCATGGCCTCAAAAAATAGAGAGGATGAATGCAATGAGGGAAGAGGAAGTACAGGGGAGGAAAAGGGATCAGGAGGAAACAACAAGGAGGGTGGGAAAGCATAGGTTGTTAAGATGAAGGGCGGCTGGGGGTTGAAGAAAGGAATGGAGAAGAAGGGAAGATGGGGGGAGGGAGGATGAGGAACAGGAGGAGATAGTGACTAAGAGATAAAAGAGGAGCGAGTGGATGTGAGTGTGTTTGTGTGATGAGCGGATGGCCTGAGGGAGCGGCCGAGTCAGCGTGCCGCTCTGCGGATGTACCGAAGGGGCTCCGGGCCGTTTGCTCACTCACTCGCCCCTTCGCTCTGTTTGCTGCAAAAAGGACAAGGGTGGAGGGGGATGGGGGTGCAGGTGAACCTGACAAGTTGGGGGAGGATGGGAAAATGCACAAACATGAAGAGAACACAAAAACTGAGGGGGAAATGGGGGAGAAAGAGGAAAACCAGGAATAGGGGGCAACAGAGAAAAGTAGAGGATTGCAACTGACGCAAAGATGAAATGACTGGATGACAGAGAGAAGCTGCACAAAAGGATCCATTTTCCACTGCTTACCCACAAAATGTAAAGAAATCATTAAGGAAAACATGACCTGCAGGCCTCTGAAGGTATTTGAAAACAATAAACGGCAAAATATAAACAAAAATATAACATAAAGCTATTAGTGGGCCTTATTTGCATGCTTATGTGAATGTGCATTGGTTAACGTACCGAATATATATCCCGAAATCAAACAACCTTTTCAGTCATGATGATGAAACAGAATTGCTGTGACCCTCTGACACAAAGAAGCCACTTTGTTGACAATTTGTTTTGTGCCTGAGAACTGTGCATGAGCGCATGCGAAGGTATGCTGCTGAGGGCTTGTCAAAACACAGACATAAGAAACTTATGATATGGAAGCGTGTTGAATCGAGGGGGCATCGAGGGGCGGGGTGGGGTTTATGCAACATCCCAGGGAAGCCAGCGGAATGAGACTAACGTTGCTGAATATGGAAAGAGGGCACACAGCAAAGGCTGCTGGGAGTTTCTGATTGGCTGCTAATGTTGCTATCCAGGCCAGGATTGGTGGAGCCGATGCAGCCCGACATCACGTTGTTGGGACTAAACCCTTTTGAACTAAGGCAAAGCAGCAAAGGCACAGATATCAAAACACATCCACCCGCGCCCTCGCGCTCATGCATGCAAGCATTTGCAGCTGCACATATTACATGCAACTAAATAAGTACCTATGCACGGTTCCAATCACATGCCAACACTGATTAATAAATAAGCCTGGCCTCCGTGCTGATGCACATCAGGAGGAAACGGGATCCCAAAACGCTCTTTGGCTTTTCCCCATATACCATCTCAAGTGAATCTACACAGGTCAAAGCGGAAAGAGCAAACTTCTTTAATTTCTTCATTCTCTTTTAAGCCCAGCTCTAAGGTGGACAGAATAAATTGAAGCTTAAGCATGCATGAAGGCACAGCCAGCGGGCCGCTTTCCACCACTCCACGCTACATTTGTCAAATCAGAAGAATTTCTGCTACACGTGAACCCCGGATCTGAGAGCAGGGGAACGGCACGGATTCGCATTTAAGTCACGCGTGAGGAGCAGAGCTCCTAGAAAAAAATGTATATATATGAGCACTTTTGAGTTTGCGGTGATTTTTCAATATGTCGGTCGGTTTTAACTGTGACTAACAAAACAGAGTGCATAGAAAATTAGCTGCATGCTATTAATAAAACATGAGATGAGCCACAGCAGTGTGATCGGGGGAAATGTATGACGACTCCTTTGGCCTCGCTGCCTCTGCCCTGTGGCGTGTCGGCTCAACTCTGTCTGCGACTTTGCCTGTGGTAAGACGTGTCTCTTCCCTCGGCTACTGTGAAGAAGGGACTAATCTCTTCTAATCAGGAGAATGTGCTTCTCAGATAAACCAAAAAAAAAAAAAGTCTATGTCTTCCCCTGCCTCCCGTCTTAAACTTGCCGAACAATGAGCCGGCCTAAACCCCAACAAAACAACTCATAACTCATTTGATTTATTTTACAACACCAATCAATACTTTTTCACAGATCACCATAATGCCACCACAATCTTTAAAATATTTCATTGCTGTTCTTGTGTTATTGCAAAGTGGAAAAAGAAACAAAAATATTGAAGGTTTAGTAAAACTAAAGATCTTCACCAGAGGTAAAACATGCATTTGTTTTGCCAACCAGCTTTAGGTCAATTTTGAAGACCGCCACAGATTCTCAATCGGATTTAGGTCTGAACTTTGACTGGGCCGTTTCAATGCATTGATAAATTTAGATTTAGCTGTAAGGTGAGGCTCAGCCTATTGGAAGGTGAACAGCCTCTCCAGGTTTGTCCAACTTTGACCAGTTTCTATGTCCCTTTTGATATAAAGTTGCATGATGGGACTCTGTGTTTAACCACACAAAGTTTTGCCTATAGTTTCTATGAATGATATATTTTTCTCACCCAGGACATGTTACTGTGGAATATCATGCTATGTCACGAGTATCTCCAGTGTCTTACATCAGAAACTTATTTAGATTTGTTGCAACACTGACTGCTACTGGAGATCCTTCCTGCCCACAGCATCACAGACTCTTAGAGGATTCCTGAATGACAAGAGTAACAGCAGCATTTAATTTCTCTTTGTGAAAAAGTTTTTTGAATTGAAGTGAATTTGAATTTAGTTACGTTCTCTAACAGACTGAAGATGTCTCAATAGGACGACTAGATTAATTAAAGAGATTAAATTCCACACACGAGGACGAGATCTTTACTAAAGAGATTGACAATCATTTGCTCTGGATTTCATTTGGGGGTCTTGGAGTAAATACCCCTCAATGAATACATATGTACACCAAACGCTTGAAATTTATGATTGCAAAGACAAAAAAGTGCAAAATCGTCAAGGGATATGAATTCTTTCGTAAGGTATTTTATGACATTTCCTGAAGTGATGTTACTGAACGAGGTACGTGCGCCTATCGGGCTGAAGGTCGGGCCTATGAATCTTTGATCCGTCTCTCCTGGTCCCACCCAGCCCTACATTCAATATGAGCTAGCAGAGTGCCACTTGGCCCGTTCCTGTCATTTAGCACACACACACACACACACACACACACACACACACACACACACACACACACACACACACACACACACACACACACACACACACACCCTCCATGTGTCCTCCTGGTGCATTAATGTTCTTACATCACCTCCTCCAGTGAGCACAGAAAACAAGAGAGCACCAGACTCGAAGAGATGGAGAGATGGCTTTTAGTGGGGGATGGGTACGCTGTGCACGTGTGGGTGGCAAGTATGTGGCAGGTTTCACAATAATGCAGCAATATGTAACATAAGGCAAACACTTAAATCAGGTGCAAATTTACTCTGAAAAGGTCAGACTTGCTAAATTAATTTGCACCAAGAGGCTGGAGTTAGAAAAAATTATATTTTTTGCAAGATGTAGTTTTTTTTTTTTTCTTAAGTGTAACCTGTGCACAATAAAAAGAAAAAAATACTTTTTCCACAATTTTGGCTTGAATGTGCCACAGTGGCGTGCGCCATCATGGATGGCTGGGTCTCAGACACATTAACACTGTCTGGCATTGCCTTGCACCCACGAGACCTTCCCCCCACTGCAACATGCACGAGCGCATGCCTGGGCATCACCCTTCTGCTCTAATACACTCTCATCCCCTTGGGATGGCTCCTTTTCGGAGGGTGACTGCGGTTTGTTTGGATGCGTGCTCCTCCTACCTTGTGTAGGATCGTGATTCTCCCAAAACTGTCTGAGGAGTTCCTCCAGGCTGATGTCTTGAGGGGAGAAGACCACCCTCACCACCTCAGCGTGGGCCGTCAGACCTGAGGGGGAATCACAAATTGACATTGTTCAAAATAAATACCATCCACCGCACACCCTTTATTTACAAATACTGAACATTTTTAAAACTAAAAATAAAAGGAAATTCCAGGTTTAAAATTGTAGACGAGAGAATCAGAGTCCATGCACCTCAGGTAGAAAACACTCAGGCTGAATCTCCTATGAGATATGTTATTTCTCTTGGCACCAGAGGAGAAAGAGAGAAAAAGGGATGTATGGAGAGAGAAAAAGGCAAAGAAAAAGATGGAGCTTATGGTGGAGGTTGCCAAAAGCTCACAGATACTCATTCCTGTTTGCAGCTGCCAGGATACTGAAGCCTCAGCGAACTGCCAGCAGGCGCTCTCCAACTGAAGGCTGCTTTAGGTCTCATATGTTCTGCATGTGCATCTGTGCACGTTTATAGCAGAAAAGGTACTTTACATTTTTTAACATAGACATATTTTATTAGTAAATGAGGCATCAGCTAAAATCCTGCAGCACTGAAGAGGTAATATAACTGTAGACCTATGAACAGCGAAACAATGTAGGTTACAGGAGAAGATTGAGTTCATATACAAAATAAATTTTTGTGAAATATGATTTGCTAACAAGCGTGGAAAAAATTTAAATAAAACATGCATTTGCATATGTTCATCTTGGAAAAAAAAATCCTAAATAGTTGCCTGCCAACAAATAATAGGAATATATACTGGAAGCATCCATATACTGAAATGACAGTTTAGAAGCATTAAATACTCGTTAACAGCTACAAACTGTATGGGGAAGTAGCAGCTGCAGAGACTTTAGCCATAACAAAAAGCAACAATTTCATTTGGAACAAACAAGATCTTCTCAGGAAAAGGTGACCATGTGCCACATGTAGAAGGAGAAAGGCTGGGAAAGATCAGGACCAGTAAAGCTGCAAGAGCTTCAAAGTTCTGCTGAAGGACCGGTAATCCATCAGCAACAAGCCGGCCTGTTTAACTCCTCTGCCACTGAAAACAAGCAATGCAACTCCGGAAACCAATTAAAACGATTAAAATTAGGAGCAGAGCTTTTACATTTGTTCAAAGATGTACTGATAAAGCGTCATGTTAACATCCTAAAGTACACTGGCTCCTAATATTGTTTTTTTTTTTGTATTATTTTGCATCATGTTTTTGAAATGTAAAAAAAAAAAAACATGTCAAAAGTCATATGATGTGAGAATAATCCTTTACAACTGAAATGCAAAACAAACAAATCGTTTAAAAAGAAAATATAAATTGAAAAATAATAATGCAATAATGTGTTTGTACAGTGTGCACACCCTTGCATTATTTTAAACCCACTTTTTGTGTTGTATGCATTTATATAATTATTTTTCCTCCTTGTCAAAAAGTTAATTTCTTTACAATAAAACATGTCATTGATTGCATCCCACAAAATAAAATATAAAATAGTTTTTTTGCTTTAAGTCATGAAATAGTATTTTTAATCAACCATCCTTGGAAATATATTTTTTATTGAAATTGACTGCATTGTATTTTAGCAAGAACTGAATTAGATTCCATTTAATTAAAAGGAATGTGTTTAATTTAATGTGAATGTGATTATATAATTGAAGTGATTTTACTAAATTGGATCTTTTTCTTTTTTTTAAGTGTCTTGAGATAACACCTGTTGGGAATTGTCACTGTATAGAGTTAAATTGAAATATATGTTTAATGTAGCAAGTATATTTAAATGTAGCAAGTGTAGCAAAAATTAATTAAATTAAAACGTTATTTGTTCATTCACAAATAAAAAAGCCAGAGTATTTATAACTGAAGAGACTGAGTTGGTAATCATTGAAGATGTCATTTTGTTGATGAAACCTTTTTCTCCATAACTAAACGAGGTTCCTGGCTTAAACGAGGTTCCTGGCTTTTTTCAAACTGTAAATGGAAGAGATTTAAGTGCTGACCTGCACGGCATCAACCATGTTTTGTCTCTTCTCAATAATTTGCATAAAGAAAAAAACAAAAATGCCAGAAGGGCCTTTGAGCTCATTGCAGAGTACTGAACATTTTCAATAAAGGATAGAAAGTTGTATTATTGGTTCAATCATTTTACCCAGGTTCTTTGTAAATAACATTTTTCCTTACACAGCTTTGCATTCTACGTTGCAATTGTCTGGCGCATTAGACTGTGCTTGTCCTGTAGATGAGGTAAATTATGCTGATTGATAATAAGATGTTCCTCCTTCTACAAAGGGAATTTCTGACTGCTCCATCCTCCTGTGTTTGTCGGTCAGGCCGTCCACCTGTCTGCCTCTCCTTTGACAGTTCCATCAGCCCTCTCAGTCAGTCTGTCCTGCCACGGAGGCGCTGACAGCTCCTCAGCCACGTGCCGTCGCAGTGTTCTGCTCCGTCATGGCCACTGGAGCGACGCCTGCACTCTCTGAGCCGATGGACAGGACCACTGCTTTTTTCTCACGCTTTTTTTTTTTTTAACCTCCCTTAAAAAGTTTATTTTGCTCATTCCTTAAAACTTAGTCTCATCGTTTTACTCATCCTTCTCCATTTTCCTCCACAGATGACCATCTTGCTTCTAAGAAGCTGAGAGAAGCAGCAACAGGGGAGGCTGCTGGTAGAAACCATGTGATAGAGCATCCTGCAACCCAAAACTGCCCACCTCCTCATAAAGTCCCAAACGAACAGCTGATCATCTTCATTTTCAATATGCATCACCTTCCTACGAATCCATCTGACTGCTGCAATAAAATAACAGGAATTTTCTTAACATTAAAATCAACAAGAACAGAATCTGTTTCTGCAAATCACATTCTGTGGGAAAGAAGCCCATGTATGGCGCCTTTGACGCAGAAACCTCCGTTACTAAAAAAAAACACCGCAATACAGCACAGCAGAGAGCAAAATCCTCACAAGTAGGTCATGTGGGGGTGGGGATGTTGGGGGGGTGCAGCCCATCTGGAGCAGTGCATTCTGAGTAGTTGACTGCAGATGAAGGGAAGAACCAAGACGAGAGAGCTTTATTTAAAACAATCTTCCTCTGCATCCGCTTCCTTTTTTCTTTAAATTCTCTTTAACCTTGACACTTGCAGCGTCAAACGTTCTGCCAACCTGTTTCACTTCCTCGCAGTGAAGGTAGGAAGGTGGAAGGATCTGTTAGCGGGAATCGGAGCGTGGGGAGTGTAAATACCAGTAAAAAATGTGCAATGTGCAATACCTGTGCAGACTTCATTGTAGGTCGGGTTGGGTGTGAAGCCCCCGGCGAAGCCCACCTGGGTGGAGAAGACTCCTGGAAGCCGCCAGAACAGCTTCTCAGCTCCCCAGAAACAGCCCATTCCTGCACACACACGCACACACACGCACACACACACACACACACACACACACACACACACACACACACACACACACACACACACACACACACACACACACACACACACACACACACACAGGCACCGTTAGGCCTTTTTGCACTGCGTCACACAGAGATTTTATGAATGCGGTGAAGTTTTAGGCTTTATAAACGGATGACTGTGCCACCTCACCAAACATGATGGTTTCCATGCCTTCTGGAAAAGGCTCCACAGTGGGATTCCCATTAACAGCATGCTTCTCTGTGAGGTAAAACAGTGGAAAATGTGTTATGGGATCATAACAGTAAAAGGAAACAGTGTGACTTTCAGTGTGTTGAAGAGCCTGAAAGCAGCGCAGAGTTGGCTTCAGTGGCTCTCATTTAACAACATCCTGACGCAGGCTGACGGATCAGAGCTACAAGAAGATATTTAAGAGATTACACAGCTTTGATTGTCCCTATGATTCTTCCTGCTGTTCTCTCTTTATTCAACTACACACATCTAAGCTATTATTGTTCAGCTTTTATTACTCAGACGGCTCAAACGTCCAGTCACAGTTGAGACAACAAGGTGTCCCCATTGCATCACCTGATCTGCAGATGTAACTGTAACAAAAGGCGGTTGTGCAACATGTTCACTCAGGAGGATAAAGTACACATGCACACCACACTTTTCAGGTTTTACTTGGGATTTCATTTCACAATAAATCCCACAAAAATATGTTCAAGTTTATTGTTGTTCAAAATGTGGAAAAGTTTGATTAATATCTTTGAAAGGCACCAGGATTTACATTATATGACACACGTGATCAATATCAACAGGCAATATGTCCAATAGAATATTCAATATTCAGTATAGACAATATTCACTAAACTCCCACCCAGAACTACACAGCATTCTGGAGGATGTAGGCTGCAGGGGTTGCAGCATCCCAGGCAAGATTGGTAGCATCAACTAACTCACTCACCCTCTGGTTACCTAGCAATAACTTGTTGAGTAACTTGCGCAGCAGCAGTTTAAGGTTTTGCCTTCTGCCTCATAAATGCTTGATATTGTCGAGTGTAAATTATGGATAAAAGAGGAAAGGTTACCCCATAAGTTTTACACTAATTCAAATATTTAAAACAAAAAACTCATCAATAATTATCAATACGCTCTTCAGCTTTATAGAATAGTCCTATCTTAACCCCAACTTGCTCACAGTGAAAACATTGAACTATAAACAGAGTGTAGAAACAGTACAGCCTGAATTTAGAGTGCTAAACGGTTGGTGTGTGTGCGTGTCTGTAGCCCTCAGATATGTCAGGAGGATTAAGGTTTAAGAAGACTGAGGTGACTTAGCGTGCAAATCTCCACTCAGCAAGGCTGGTTTGTACTGCAACCCCTAATAGTTGTCTCCAGATAAACAGGCCACAGCATACACTTAGAGCTTAGCCATATATCGGTAATGGATGCTTACTCCAAGTTCCATGAGGTGATCACTTATTGTCCGATTAAGCTACGTTATGTGTGACACTGACCTGAATACTAACAATCGCTAATCTGATACAGACAGAATAGTTCATTTCCTAGATAGGCCTGGGATGATCCTTAGCTGTGACAAAAGGCCAAAGACCATTAGCTACCTGCAGTTTGCTTCAGACTTAAAGGAGATTACGATAAAGACAGACCACACTGGAGCACTGAAAAGAAATGTTTTCCCATGCTGGGACTCTAAAGATAAGGTCTTTTGAAGAAAAAAGGAAGCAAGGGGCCACTGCGACGCTTGAACAGATAATACAAGTCTTGTTGTATTGGGGCATTTTTTGATATTTTACAAAACCGTTTGGTTTTCTGTGCAGCAACAGATTGCAGACATATGAAGGACTAAAATGTCACGGAGGCCTGGATGCCCCCAGGCAGCCGCATCGTGGACTCCTATTGAGCGGCAATTCTGTTTTTGTTTTTTTTTTATTTTTAGCAGGAGGTTGTTTGGCGCTGCCAGGTCACGCTCACAAGCACAGTCGGCTGCAGAATCAAAGCACATCCATGTGACGGACATGCTAAATCTCCTCCGTCTCATTGGACGACTTCAGACGGTGGAAGAACAGAAGAAATGGTCTTTTACCATTTTCACCGTCTCCTAGATATCACCCCCCGGAGTTGCCAAATGACTTCGAGAGGTAAAATGAGAGAGTGAGAGGGAGTTAAGTGTGAGATAAAGGAGTAGGAGGAGAGGAAAGAACAGTCGCAGGAGGAGATATCCGCCTGCCAAAACGATAAAAAGAAGTAAACCGCCAGTTAGAAGCAACATATTAAAGTTAAGGTGAGGAAGCGAAAGACTCCCCTGGCTTTCAGACAACCAAACCTTCAGACACCTTATAAAGAGACAAAGCACTTAATGTAAGTGAGAACACCGAGAAAACAAACACAAACGAGAAAATATACAACAAAGAAAAGGCGAGTTAGCAAAGAACCTGTTGACATGATATCCGAGTGTTTAAGCTGCTCTCCGTCTTTACTTCACACTCGCTTCCTCACACTACCGCACTTTGCTCTGACAATCACTTGCATGGTGACGTGCATACAATCTGCAGCACAACTGTTGGTGCATCAACTGCTGTTGTGCTTTTTTTCTCCTGTGGAGGAGCTGGCCGAGGTCCAGTTGGTGCCAGGCTTTTCATTGTGCCGGGTCCAACACACCCTCCTTCTCACACCCCACTCTGCAAGAATTACCCCATCGTACACACACGCATCCAGAAAGAACCCGGCTGAATACCCTCACTACGCTGCCTTACTATCCCAGCAAAAGAAAGAAGACGATAAAAAGCAAGCGGGGAGGGGGATTGCCTGGGTTTACAAAAGAAGTTAACAGGCTGAAAATGTGGAAAGGACTCATGAATAGGTTTTTTTCCTGTTTTGGATGGGATCCAGGCTTAAGTTCTTTAGCACACCTTTGTTTTTGCAGATATCTGGAAAGTGCAGATCACAGTGTACGTAAGGAATGAAGCAAAATCCTTTGGTCACCTTTTGTTGCTTTAAGCCTAGCTGCTGTAGGCGGCTGGATCAGAACCAAAACGTTGGACCGGGCGCCCTACCATTCTGCTTGAATCAAGGTGACTACTGTTCTGGGGCACAACAATCTGGTGCTCAGCGGAAAACAAACACCCAGTTTGAAGTCGTGTGGTGGATTTTTTTTAGCCTTTCATACCTTCCGATTCAACCTATGGTCCTGTGTTTCTCACCCGCACAACTGAAGTCCAAGCGCTGCTGCCTCCTCACATAGAGACATGGGAGAGGCACTATCCCAGCATGCCAAACTGGTGAAGTTGGGTTGATTTCCAGACCGCTCGGTGTGTTTCCTCCCAAAAATCCTCTCTTTTCTCTTTCCCTTCCCTCCCTCTTGCCTTTCCTCTTTCTAGTTGCGCACAGGTTGGCAAGGAGTCAGGCACGAGTCGTCGGAGGAGGCTGATGCTTTATACTGGTGCCAACTACCCTCTGCTGGATGGGAGGAAGGGAAGGGACGAGAAAAGAGTGGGGCAAAGGGGGCGTAAAGACGGGGGAAGACTGAAATCTGTTTTTACACAACAAAAAGACGTAAATTAAGGAACTAATGAGAGTGACCTTCAAACAACCCAGAGAACTTTGTGAAACACTTAAACATACACGCTCTGGCCACTTTATTAGGTGCACCTTGCTTGTATCTGACTGGGCCCTCTTTTGTCAAAATTATTTGTGGCGTTTTGATTCATATACATTGTTACAGATTTCCATGATGCAAACCGGCCCTTCCTCCACACCCAAATAAAGCTCTTTTTGCAGTTTTAGCAGAAATGACTGAGTATTAAGTGAGAACCGCACAGATTTACTTTATTAGGGAATTCTATCAGATGTATTTTCTACAAATATTGATCATGTGACAATCAAGATTGATATGTTTATTGTATTATAGCCCAGCCCTAATATATTATAAATTGATTTGGGTTCGATACAGAAAAGAAAGGGGGGAAAAAAGGAAGAGAGGTTAGAGAGAAAAGCAGAAAATAAAAATAGGTAGAAGTAAGTCTGTTGCAGTAAGCAGTTAATCAAGTCATCACATTATAAATTGAAATGAGGTCAAGAATTTCTGCTCTGATGTTTAACATGTTAGAGCAATTTTGTTTACAGCGACTTCAAATCAGTTTTAATTATTGTTTCTGTTGTGTGTGGTTTTTACTCCTTTTTTCTGTTTTTGTTGTTGTGTTTCATTTTGGATATTGAAAAAAAATTTCTAGTTCCAGTTTTAAGTGTTTTGAAAAATTCAAGTTTATTTTTCTGGGAGAGAGCAAACTTGCATTATCATGCTATTATCAATAAGTTACTTGAAAATGGTCTCAAAACCATAATATCATTTATTGCTATAACTACTGGGACATCTTATTGTGTGCTAAAATCTGTTGTTGACAGGCGTAGGGAGACGCAGCGAGAGAAGGCAAGAAAACATACTAGGAATCTGTGTACAAACCTGCAGAAAGAGAGACTCAAGTGACTAAAACCTGAACGGGAAGTATCAACACAATTAATTCAACTTTTGACTTCAAGATAGACAAAGAACATAAAGTGTTCCTGCCATGGTGAGCCTTTTTAACCTAAAAATATTGTATCAACTTCCAAGCATGGGTTTGACCACATAATGCTAAAGGCATATTTCACATAACAGATTGCAGAAAGTGAATGAAATAGGATGGATGAACTTCTGACCAGAGCTGCAAACTGAAGTCCCAACTATAGATCACAATGCATATTCTCCATTTCTGTTTATAAAGTTAGATTTTTTTTTTTTTTTTTTTGCTCTCTGTCATCTATTGTTAAATCTATGTTTTCCAATATCAATATCAAGACAAAAAGGAAACGACTAACTTATATTTTAGGAAACCCTCCTCCACATAGAGGAAGTCCTTATTTTATTTGGCTCACATTTGCCTATCTTTGTAAACTTGCATCACCACTTTGTCGTTCTTCACAAACTGACTAAAAACAGAAAGGGCATCTAGAGAGAGCTATGAAACAATACTGGCGATATATCATTGCCATGAATCTGTTTATGACAGTTACAGCGAAACACGGAGCAGAAATTGATTTCAGTCGGTTTGCCCCGCCCCTCCCCCCCATCCTGTTCAGGAGAAATATTGGCAGTCTATCCTGCCCTGACTCAAAATAATAGCGACTGTGCCCCTACCATGTAGCAATCTGCCATTGCATAATTCTTGCCAAGGTCACAGACCACATCACACAGACCACAGTGAGGGAGGGAATGCAGGGCAACAGGAAACAGAACCAGGAATAAGGAGTAACTTTATCAGGGTGCCAGGGCAAAAGGTTAATCTGAAAACGAGTCCTGTTCGATGCAGAGAGGAATAAAACGGTGTCCGCAATCAGGTCCACGGAGCTGGGACTGAACTGGGCCCATGTGAAGACACTCCTTAAATCATTACTGTTTGGAGGACCACAGAAATACTACACACACATGCACACACACACACTGAAGAGAAAAAAACCATCCTCATCTAAACTGCCACCCCCACGGTGAAAGGGGAGGAACAGATTTCTGCCATGCCGTGTCTCCGAGCTGCTTCGACAGACGGAGAGGCAACTTACGACAGGGTGGAGCCTTCATGCGCATAATGCCCAGATGGGCCCCTGGATGCTGTAGTACCTCTTCCTCCTAAGCACTCACGCCTGGCTCCCACAATGCACTTAGCGGACGCAAGTGTCTGAACGGGTGACAAATGCAAGCAGCCGACTCAGATTGCATAATGTTTCTCATAACCGGCCATCCTGTTTCATAAGAGAAACCCAAGCAGGTGAATGAAAGTGCAGGTGCGATCAGCCAAGTAATAAAACTGTTGACAGCAACTACTAACAACAAACAACCCAGAAGGCTCTTACAACCACTAAAAAAAGAGTTTATCAGTGTCCAAAGATTAGATCTCAAAACGTTTCAGTGCTTCAAAATATTTTACAATGCATGTTGGTTGCCAAGGTTAACTTTGGACAAGAATTTTATAAGTTACCGTTGATTCAAAGATGTGTGAATCAACATCACTGTGTGTCCAGTTTAATATCAGGACACACGTTACAGCTATCTAAGATAGATATTCAATAAAAGTATCACCTTTTGACAACCAAACTTTTTGACTACCTAATCACTGACTTGTCACAGAGAACACTTGACTTAAACTGAGATTAAATTACCCATATGGAAATGGGATTTTATTTTGTTTAGGCATATCAGAATAAAGAGGCCACACTTCTTAGACTCTCATTTGTAAAACATGTTAAAATCTTGTACTATTTTCACATCACAATCATGCACCAGTTTGTGTTTTAAACTCACCTGCACAAAACTAAAAGTCTTTTCTGTGCTTGTTTGCTTCCAAACTGTTTAATATCGAACACAGAGGGAGCAGTGAGTGTACCAAAGGTTAAACTAATGTTAATATGTAATCGCGTCCTTGTTACTTAACTACAATGCTGGGTTTGATGTTGAAGAGCTCTGATACTGATATACTGTCAGCATTCGATTTTAAGAACTTTGAGCTGAAATATTCTGTTTTTTCAAGTTCATCAGCAAAGGGTGAAAACTGATCAAGGTAGCTTCAGTTCACTTTTTGTTTCCAGAATTCATGTTTTTTTTAAATTCATGAACACAAGTACTTTTTTAATAATAGCGCATTAAAAACAGCAATTTAAACTGGAAATCTAACAGTATTCACTGAACTTGATTCGTCTTTATTTGGATTATTACTCTGGATGTTTCTTTAACCTTTATGAAAAAAAAAAATCTTGAAATTTGGCTGAATCTGTTCGTAGAGAGAACTAAATCTTTTTCTGTGTTTTTATGATGATCATATTCCTCTGAACTGGACCTCAGTCATCAGGAGTCGGACCTCGATTGTTTTGAGAAACTGATGACTAGTACAGTTTAGGAAATATTATTTTCAATTGCTTCCACCTTTGGATATCTTCTTGTGATGGAAGGTTTTAGAAATGTTGAGGTTTTTTTGTTTTGAACCCGAGAGCCGCTATAACCCATAAAAACTGACATTTCTCTACTTTTCTAAAATAAGAAACTGCTGCATTTCTAGCTTCCCCTGACAAGCAATATACACCACCATTCAGGCATAACATTATGACCACTGATATGAAAACCTATACAGGTGGGATGCACTAGAAGTGAAAACCGTCCTGAAAGTTTAGTGTGTTAGAAGAGATTTGTGTGAGTTTAACAAGGACCAAATACTGATGACTAGACATTTGGATCAAAGTATCTTAAAACCTTTGACCATGAAGCAATGGTTTTTACATGATGTAGATTGTTGGGCGTGTATGAATTGTCTACCTGGGAAACACATGGCAGCTGGACATCCTTTGGAGGATGGCTTGACTTCCTCCCAAGTCAAAATTATGTATGTTAGGTGAATATGCCACTCAAAATTTACCTTACTGAGCTTTTACTGTTGTTTGCCCTGTTTGTCTGTGTTTTTCTATGATGTACAGGCTGAATAGGACCCAGCGCTTCAAGATGCCGCATGGATGGATGTAGCTCCTTTCAGCTGGATAATGCACTAAGTCACAAAGCCAAAATGCCTTAGAGGAGTTTTGCCTGCATCTGTTGCTGCAAATGAATAAGCTGATTGTGATTTAGGTATGCATAAAATATTATAAAAATCCGGATCAAAAAAAAATATATGAAGTTATTTTCTTGCATTATTTTGAATTTCAGTTCTTCTCCAGTCAATGTGAGTCTTTCTTTTCTTTTCTTTTTTTTTTTGTCAACGTTACATAACAAAGCTGTAATAGTTTCAGCAGAGACGTGGCTCCAGAAAAAAAAAAAAATCCGACTCCGCAATTTTGATCAACTTTTATAAACTTACGTTACTCTGCAATTTACCTGCTACGACCATTCTCTCCTCCCTCCCCTTGAGAGCCCGCTCTCTGCTCGGCAGCTCGGTCTGATGGGTCATTCTGTCAGCGGCGAGCAGCGACGCGCAGACCAGCAGCAGCAGCGCTGCGCTGCGCTGCGCTCTTTCTGCGTGTTTGTGGAAACCAGCCCGGCTGCGGCGGAGCCTTCCGGGAAGGTTTCATAACGGCTCGGGCACCGACTTACGTTACACGGCGAGGACTGGAGGGAGCGATACCGGAAAGGGGGAGAGAAAAAAACCCGCCATCAGTATGAATATTCATGGCACGTGGGCCACGTCGTGCGATGCATATTAACTAGTCAAGGGGTTAATATGACTTTGGCACAAAAGCCTGCAGAGCACCGTGTGCGGGAACGAAATTAAATTTAAATAAATATCCACCACATTCAGCATGCAAATGAGCACTCACCAATTATCTGCTCCCGTTTGGTGGGAGGTGCGTCTGGTGAAGCAGGTTAAAGTATAGATGTATAAAATACCAGTCTTAATGGTCTGTGCAAGTTTTGGTAATTTGGTGTTTTTATTAGAAACCAGCAGAAGTGGTTAGAGGAGCCAAACACTGTCCACAAGTAAGAGCAGCCATCAAAGAAACTGCAGAGAGTAAATATTAAATATCTGGTTTAATATTTAAGAATGATGCCATTAGGCAGTCAAAATATAAAACTATGCAGATGCTGGTGTTTCATAGAATAAAAAAATAAACACAAATACATGACAGTTAAAATCACTGAGAGGAAACTTTTCCAAATCAAATTTGTTCAACAGAAAGTTTGACAACAATCATTTCAGAGGCTAATGAAAGTGGTATATCTACATAGTATACTATCTATAAATTAATCAATTAATCAATCAATCAAAGTTTATTTGTATAGGACATTTTAGCAACATGCTGTTCAAAGTGCTGTACACTGTGAAAACTTCAAAAAAACTCATCAATAAACACATAACAGAGTCAACAATTGTGAAAACCAATAACATACATTACATTTTGTGAAGTGAATTCGTTAAAATCATCAACACATCAAATATGTTGGTCAGTGTTTCATTTATCATTGTTCAGGTGGGTTTCAGTCTCGATTTGAAAGGGTTTCAGCTGTTTCACAATTTTTTGAAAGGTCATTTTGTTGCTTCTCCATGTTTAATTCTGGTTCTGGGGAAGCGAAGCAGACCAGATCCAGAAGTCCTGAAAAGTCCGTAAGGTTGATCTTCCCAGAGCAGATCTTTAGTATATCTGGTGCTGAGCCGTTCAGTGATTTATAAACTAACAGAAGTATTTTAAAGTCTGTTCTCTGAGCTCTCTGAGAAAGCCAGATCTGTGTGTTCAACTGGGTTGCTTTAACTTCCTGGTTTTAGTGAGAACACAAACAGCAGCGTCCTGGATCTGCAGCAGCTGGTGGATTTTTTTAGGCAGACCTGTGGCGACACTATTGGATTACTAAATATGTTATGCAGGGAGCACAACTGTCCATGAATAGCTCTGTGAATACTTGAGAGCCCCTCTAAGTTTAAACACTAAAAATGCATTAATATGGATACTGGAAACCATCTTCGCACTTTCATTTTAATTTATAAGTTAAAATGAAGAAAACTAAAGTATTTGAAATATTTTTACTAAGTAAAAACCGCCGCAGTGAATCACCTGTGCAACTTCAACAGCTTTGTTATTGATTTAGCCAAGTACTTTGAATCAAACTTGTCTCACTATGTTTTCACATTATATATGTAATCATAAGTGGGTAAAAAAAATGAATATCAAAGAATGACATTTTCTATCAAATTCTCCACTGCTTTCAACTTGAACTTCAGGAAGACATAACGATGAGACGGTAATGACGATAATTGTTTGTCAGTGGGAGCATAAAGTATTATTCCTTGTTCTCTGATCCAGTCAATGAGAACAACAACAAAAAAGAAGTACTCAGGGCATTGTTCCCATATTCTGCAAGCCAAAATAACATCACAGCCTCTTCTACAACCCTTCCCTCCTCCCTGTCTTCCTTTTTCCCCTCTCTTATCTGCCAGAGAAATGAAGCTCAGTCACCTGTGGAAGAGCTGAATGCTGAACGGGGGGACTTTGCAATGCAAATGCCAGGTAATTACCCGAAAGGTAGGAGAGTGGAGGCACACGGATGAAAACAGAGCAGCCAGAATAAGAGCGGAAGGCAGAAGGAGAGATGAACCAAGTGCCAGGTTCACATGCCTGTTGATGCCGGATGATTGGGTGTAACTGTGAGTTTGGAGAGGCGGTGTGGGAAGAGAAGAAAGGATGAGGTACAGAGGACCAAAGGGATGCGGAGACACTACATAAATACAGTAGACACGCCATGTTCATTTTTTATCATTCTTCTCTGCTTCTAAAAATGCGCTTTCTACTTAAAAATCAATCAATATCATTTCTGTAACCTCTGCAGAGTTGTGATTTTAGAAGGATCTACTTTAATTTGAAGGAATTTCTGTGATCAAATGAATGTAGAAGGAGTGGATATGCATGTGCTTGAGTGCTTTCGTGCACATAGGCAATTTGTCCATGAGTGTTCATACATGCTTTCTTACACCACTTGTGCATACATGCATGCATGGTCGTGCATAGCTGGTGTGTCGTAGCAGAAGATTTTGCGAACATGCCAGCTTGCAGCTGTTTGATTGTCAGAGAGTGAATGCGGTGAGATGTGCAGATGTGATTATCAGAGAGATTATGAAATGACCTGGAATTAAACACTGCGGCAGACTTTATTTACCAGAGTATCACTCCATGTTGAGCCCGGGGTTTGATGGGAGACACTTGGTTAGCCAGGTCACATACCTGCTATATGCGGTGGAAGTCGACATGCCTTTTGTAATTCACTTCATGAAGACAGAAAGCCCTGCAGACAGACTTTTTGTATGTCTCAAAATACAGTTTCTATCAAATGTTTGCATCACTGGCATCAATTTAATTCATTTGGGGCTTTTAATGATTTATTTGAACTTTTGCTTTTCTAGGGTTTTATTGTGGTTTTTAAAATCAAAAACCATAATAAATATTAAAAACAAGAAATTGTTGGACAGGTCTAAGTTTAACATACATTTTTTCCCCATACATAACGTGTCAAAATGATAAATATAGGCTCAAATACTGACATTCATACAGTGAATGTTTCTTTTAATACCTTCTAGCAAGAGAAGAAAATCCACAAGGTTTTTCTAACTGTCAACAAATTTCTGGCATCATTCTAGATGGATTTTGATGACTCTTGTTTTGGCAGAGCTCCATTAAATTGGTTGGATTCCTAAGATGGACCCTTCTTTTAAGAGTACTCAATAAGTTTTCAGCAGGCTTGGACCTAATGGATCGCCATCTTTCAAACATCTTCTCCAAATTTGAATGAAATTTGCAGCTGCATGCATGGACAAACCAAAATGTTTCTGGAGAAAGGTCGTATGACCAACATGAGACAAAGATTCACTTGTTTGGCCAAAATGTCAGGAAGTAAGTTTATAGGAGCCAAAAGAAGACTTTCAAAACTAAGAACACAGCAGGGCCGTGCAGAGAACTTTGGAGGGGCGGGGGCTCAAATTTAAAAAAGGGCACATTTAACAAAAGAACAACAACATAGCAACAACCCATATTAATCAAGAATCTAACTGGATCATATGATATCATTATCAGCATGTGGGGACAATGCAAACAGGTTTAAAGTGTCTGTTTCTGCTGCTGACAGTCCTGGAGAGCTGAGTTGATCTGAGCTGTTAAACAGACCAGAGGAGAGAAGGTCGCTTCCTCCTCCAGGGGGCCTCCAGACATTCAGGGGCCCCTACAAATGGTCTAATTGTAACACAGACCATAGATCTAAAACTGTAGCATTCGTTTATAGAGAATGACAATGTTGTTCAATTTTATTCAATGCATTCAGCTCAGAAAAAAGAAATTGCACATTTAGGATTTAATTAGAAAGTTGTAAAAGTTTAAAGACCCCTCTGCATGTGCCTGGAACACAGTATCAATTGTCACATGGTGGAGGTAGCATCATGCTGTGGGTTTGTTTACCTGTCACAAGTTTAGAAAGAAAGGAGACTACCAACATTTTTTTTAACTATATCTAGAGCAAACTTAAGAGTTCGATGTTGTGAACTTGGACCACTTGGGTGTTTGAATGGAACATTAATGCAAAGCTAAAGCTACAGACAGTTTAAATTTAACTTGATGTTGTTTCAAGTGAGTAAATAAGTTAGATCCAGAACTTAAAATGCATACAACGGCAAAGTTTAGATCTGGCCCATGTTTCAGATTTAGAATTTTGACCCTATGAATTAATAAAAATCAACAGTAATTTCAGACTTGTGAAAACAATTTGTGCTTAAAATCATCGGTGAAATTGGAGTTTGAATATCGTCCAAATCCCATCATTAAAAGTTGAAATTAACATGACATTCCTGCAGTGAAAGAGTGGATGCAAGCTTCTGACCAGAACTGCGCTTCCATTAACATCTGACCAGAAGAAGAGGTCGTCAACCTGGAAACTGCTTTGCTTGTTTAGTCTAATTGTGGCTTTTTTAAAGTCTCACTTTGACTAATTAGAATAATAAATCATGCCGCCTCTGTGTTTTTAAAGGAATCTTTTCTTCTCGCCAAAGCAGGTGGGATTGTGGGCTGGTGAGAAAAAAAACAAAGGCTTTGATTGCTCTGCTGAAGCTGCTACAGGCAGTTAGGGGCAATGTGGTTCTCTGGCAGTATTCACAGACCAGAGTGGGAAAAGCAAACTTGACAAATTTCCATTCATATGCCTGCCTGTGCTTGAGTTCACTTGACATAAATCAGCAGGCTCATTGCAGAATGGGAAGAGATGGAGGCTAGTTTGAATGACTTGGAAGGGTGAGGGTGGTTTGGATAATGGAGCATTTCCAAGAATTTGCAGCAAATATATTCTCTGCATAGGTCATTCGGCTAGAGCAGAATCTGATTTTTCTCTCACTTTAGAGACCCAACACAATGTAACAAAGTGAAAATTATGATGCACCAAACAGTGACATGTTAATAAGTTGATTTATTTGAGCATTTCTTTTATAGATTCATTGGGAGAATTTTTTATTGTGCTCATAAAATCTCAATAAATTTAGAATTTTTACAAAGGCAAGTTCACTCAATATAAATAGTAGTTTTAAGAAAGTGTGTATTCCCCTTGAGAT